ATAAAAATCATGCGAAACCCATTAAAAACCATGAGGAATTCTATTGAAATTATGCTGAATACCATGGAAATGATGCCTAATTTTATACAAACTATGCAGAATTTTATTGAATATATGCCAAATCCCATTAAATTTATGCGGAATTCTAGTGAAATTAAATGGAAAACGACATAGAATTCCAAAAAAAGCGTCGAGTTTCAAAAAAATCAAAATCCCATAAAAATTATGTGGATTCAATTTGTATAGAATTCCATAGAAATTATGCGAAATTTCATAGAAACTACGCAAAAGTCCAAAGAATTTTTGCGGAATTCTATAGAAAATATGCAATATTCTATAAAAACTATGCAAAACTTCTACTGAAATTATGCGGAATTACGTGGAAATTATGCGGAATTTCATAAAAATTGTATGCAATTAAATAAAATTCCAGTAAAATTAATTAAAATTCCAGGGATACGACGTAGAACTCCAAACAAAAATATGTGAAATTTCTGTGGAATTCCGGTAAAATTATGAAATTCCGATGAAATGCCAATACTTTTCCTGGAGTTCTAAGTAATTTCTCCGAAATTTTAAACTATTCTCATGAAATTCCAAAGAAAAAGTATGATATTGTTTAATAAAATTCCTGTGAATTTCCGAGGAGTTCCTGCGAAATTTCCTGCAATTACATAAAATTTCCTTGAAATTACATGGATTTTTTGCAGAATTCCAGAGAATTTATATGAAATTCTGGTGTACAATTATTTTTTTTTTTAATTTACTGAAAAAAAGAATTTTTCCAGTATATTTCAGAGACCTTGACACCGTCGTTACGGTTGCGCTGAATTTTACTTTATACTTCTAAATTCAGGCATATTTTATTAATCAATTAATAATTATTATTGAAATTTTTGAATAACTACCTAATCTGTAATAAGCTACTAACAACTTACTCAAATATCAAAAATCGATGAAATTATTTGGGATTTCAGTGGAATTAAGTGGAATTCCGATGAAATTTCATTAATTTTCCTGAAATTCCAGAAAATACCTGTAAAAATTACATCAAATTCACTTGAAATTTTAAATAATTCTTGTGAAATTATTTGGAAGTTCAGTGAAATTCCGGTAAAATTATGCGAAATTTCGAAAAAATTCCTATGAAATTCCATCTTTTTTCCGGAAATTCCTCGGAATTCTCCCGGAATTCCAAGTTATTCTCGTAAAATTCCAAAAAATTCCCTTAAAAACTACATTAAATTTTCATGCAACTTTAAAAAATTCTTGTGAAATTATTTAGAATTATACTGGAATTACGTAGGATTCCGGTATAATTATGTGATACTGCGAAAGAATTACGATGAAATTTTCTGAGTATTCGACTCAATTCCTCCGGAATTTTAAGTTATTCTTGTGGAATTCCAGAAAATTTCCAATAAATTCCAAAATATTTATCTACGTAAAATTACGTGGAATTTTTGCTAAATTTCCAAAAAAAAACCCTGTAGAATTACATGGAATCCTTGTAAAATTCCAAAAAAAAAAAATCCTTAAAGTTACTGGTAATTTCAGTGGAATTTTGAAGAATTTCTATGGTATCACTTGGAATTCTCGTGAAATTGAAAGACAAAATTGCAAAAATTTCCGTAAAATTCTTGTGAAATTACGTAAATTTTTTATTGAATTCCCAAGAATTCTCTTGAAATTACATGGAATTCCCGCAGATTTAGATGAAATTCTAAAATAATAGGTATGAAATTCTCGTGGAATTCCGAAAAGTTCTTGTGAAATTACTTAATACTTTAGCAATATTCCTGTGGAGTAAATCGGAAGTTTAGTGGAATTTAAAAAAAAAATGTGAAATTTCAGAAATTTTTTTCAAAGTTGCTTGGAATTTTCGTGGAATTAAAAAAAATATTATTGCTAAGGAATAACTAGTAATTCCATAAAATTTCCAAGTACTTGAAATTTCATTGAAATTCCGAAAAAATCCTGTAAAATTACTCGAAATTCCAAAAAAATCTTCTGAAATTTCTTAGGTAATTTTACTGAAATAAAATAACTTGAACTTCTTCCGAAATTATTTGAAATTCTAGTAAAATTTGAAAAAATTCCTGTGAAGTAAATTAAAATTCTCGTGAAATTCCAAAAAATTCACAAGAAACTACTTAAAATATCGTATAAATAATTATGAAATTCCAAAAAAAAATCGTGAGATTATTTTTTAAATTTCAGCAAAATTCCAAGGAATTTTTATGAAATAACTCAGAATTTCAGTGAAATTCCCAAAAAAATTAGGTACGTGAAATGACCCGAAATACTCATGAACTATCAAAAAGTAATTTGTGAAATTACATGGAATTCTGAAAAATTCCTGTGAAAATATCAAAAATTTCTTTGAAACTAATTGGATTTTCAGTGGAATTCCGAAGATTTTTTAGGGAATTCTGGTGTGCAATTTATGAACATTCTATGAACATTCTATGAACATTCCTGTAACATTCTATAATAAGAATTTCAGTGGAATTTTGGAAAATTCTTGTAAAATTAGACGAAATTCTCATAAAATATCAGAATATTCCTAGGAACAATCCTGAAACACTCTACGAACATTCTATAAACATATAATTCTTCAAAAATTTTCCAAAAAAAAAAACATGTTGAAACATTCCTGAAACATTCTATAAACATTCTTGGAACATTTTATAAACATTTCTAAAATATAAATTGCAAATTTTTCAAAAAAAAAAATATGTTGAAATATTTCTGGAACATTTTATAAACATTCCTAAAATAGACGAAGTATTTCAAAAATATATTGAAATATTTTTGTCTTGATGTGACATTCTACGAACATTCCATAAACATTCCTGGAAGGGTACCCCCTTTGAATTCTAATTTCATAATATTCGAACCTTAATTGCTCGGTAACCGTTGAGCAAATTAAATACATTGAAATGTTCAGCATTTGTAGCTTTTATTAGGCTTTAAATGGCCTGTAATTCACAATATTTAAAGATTTATAGCTTTTGAGCAAATTCAGTTTGAAGTTTTTGATAAAATTTGGACCAAAAGTCAAATTCGAGGGTCAATTGCTCAAACTCAATGCTATCAAACTCAATTTTGCACGAATTTATAGATAATTTGATGCGCTTTCCAATGATATATATTTTATTTGGGGTTGTTTTCCACTAATTTTGACCCGCTCTATCGATTGGTGAAGTCAAAATTGAGCAAATTGAAAATTAAAAAAGTCGAGTTTTTCCTTGAATTTTGATTTCAAAATATTTAAACCTCAGTTGCTCGATAACCGTTTAGCAAATTGCATTGAAATTGTCAGTATTAGAAGTTTTTATTGAGCTCTGAATGGCCTGTAATTTACAATATTTTCAGATTTATAGTTTTTGAGCAAATTGAGTTTGAAGTTTTTGACAAATCTTGGACTAAAAGTCAAATTAGAGGCTCAATTGCTTGAAAACGATTTAAGCCATCAAACTCAATTTTACACAGATTTGTAGAGAATTTAATGTTCTTTCCAACGGTACCGTTGATATATAATTTGCTTGAAATATAACAAAGATATAGGCAATTGTTCATGACCATATCAAAATTTTGAAAATTTTCCAAAGCCAAAAAAAGAATTTCCTTTTTAATTTTATTTCTGCTTGAAATGGCCATTTGGAATTGATGTCAGGGTTGTTTTTTATTAATTTTGACCCACTCTATCGATTAATAAAGTCAAAATTGAGCAAAACTGAAAATTAAAAAAATCGAGTTTTTCATAAGGGTACCCTTTGAATTCTAATTTCAAAATATTCTAACCTCAATTGCTCGGGAACCGTTGAACAAATTACATTGAAATTTCCAGTATTTGTGGCTTTTATTAAGCTCTAAATGGCCAGTAATTTATAATATTTTCAGATTGATAGTTTTTGAGCAAATTGAGTTTGAAGTTTTTGACAAAATTTGGACTAAAAGTCAAATTTGAGGCTTAAATGCTCAAAAACTACGTGAGCTATCAAACTCAATTTTGCACGGATTTATAGAGAATTTAATGTTCTTTCCAACGGTACCTATATAATTTATTTTAATTTGGTTGAAATTTAACAAAGATGTGGGTTTGATGGGTTTATTTGTTTGAGAGGTTTATTTTCAATAAAACTCGATGGGTATAATTTATTTTGAAGTGAAAACTTCTTAGGTGGCGATCTGATAATTGGACGAGAATAGAGACTGATTTGAAAGACGCGTCACGGTTTGGGAAATTTCGTTACACAACAAGAAAAATATAACGTAGAGAGACGGAGAAAAACAGCTAATGATAATGACAGCCGACGAACGATTGACATGCACAAACCAAGGATTATAAGCAAGGAGGATTGTCCATTATTGTCAAGCGCCGATACTTTTCTGAGGTCACTACAGATGCGTAACTTTCTTTTGTGTTTTTTCCGTATTTACCCCGACTCAGACGCTGTCTAAAAGTTGTGTGAGGGGGGATAGTTTGTAGGGCGCTGCACATGATTTTTTTTTTGCATCAAGATCGGTGGCGGCAACCCTTTTCAATCGGCCGCCCCTTTCAATCTGCCACCTGTGTGTTTTGAACACACCGCACACATGGTAGCGGCGGCCCTGCTTACAGGCAAAAAAGTGTTTAGTTGGAACCATAAAGCTAAAGATGTCTTATAAAACTTAAGAATGCACTTGAGAAGTATTACATAGGCCAATTTTTGAAAACCAATTCATAATCATACTACAAACAGATGCTAGTTAAGAGAGATAGGGAGCAGTTTTCTTTCAATGGGGACCTGGAAATCAACGTCGAATTATATCATATGCTAGTTCAAAATTTAATAGAACAGAAAGAAAATACCATGTAAATGAACAAGAAACTCTTGGGCATGCAAAAAATTTAGATTATATTTTGAAGAAAAATCATTTACACGTATTACTGATAGTAAAGCACTCACTTGGTTAATAAATATCAATATGAAATAGCTAAATTAACTTTTTAGGCACTGCTTCTTCAGGAATTCTACTTTACAGTACAGCACTGTGCGGGTAAAGACAATGAATTTGCTGACTTTCTATCAAGAACAGAAGATGACGACCATACGGCTAGACAGGAGTATGATGAACTGCTGTTACCTCCAACGGTGAACTTAATCACTTTGGGAAAAGGAATTTACGAGGTTATTGTTCAAGAACAAAAGGAGGATCCTACAATTGAACGTGACATTCAGTTGATGAAAAATATAGAAAGGAAAAGGAGCGAACATTTAACAAAAAAAGAACGCATATTAAAATCATGATATATTATTGAAGATGAAATTTTATTTTACATAAAGTCGGGCTCCAAATTCATTATTGTAATTCCAAGGGATCTTAACGAAAGAGTTCTGTATGAATATCATGATGCTTCTACTTCGTCTCATTCCGGAAGAGATGAAACATACAGAGCAATTTATTATTACTGGACTGGCGTTTGGGAATGTATTTACTGGGACACTGAAACACTCGAACTTATTGAAATACTTTATTCCAAGACGGTATTTGGTGAATACAAAATTGGACAGAACGAAACTGTTTGCACTTTTAATGTCACTCTGACAAGACCGACAAGACTATCTAAAGACAGATGATGACAGATGACCAACAATTAATTAGTGCGTTCTATAACTAAAACAAGGAATCTAAGCAAGGACTTATCATTTCCTTCCTTTTTTTTAAAAAAAATCTTAACAATCTAATTTCTGAGGAGGTTTAATCAGTCGTCCAAACCTAGAAGTATATCCAGAAGTCTTGCTAGCAGTTGAAGCTGTACCAAGGTCTCTTGAGAGTCTAGGAGTAGCAGTAACTTTTACTGTATGATTGTTATCTGACTTTAGCATTTTATCAACTGTAGGACTAGTAGGACTCACAGACTCCGGTACTTCAGCAACAGCCGGCTGACTCATTTCTATATTATTGCTTGAACAATGTTGGTTATCGTAGTTTTGACTTATTTGTGAATTTGACATAATTGGCGAAAGAGAAGGAACTATTACATACGACATCATTTTAGAAGAATCTGCTTTACATTGCCGAATGTCATTCGAATGAAAAAGCCTAATAACTTCTCCAATTTTAACTAAATAAGTACAGTAACTCATACATCTTATAATTTTACCTTTTTGCCACAAGTGAGTGTACTTATTTTTTACATAGACATCTTGGTTTTCACAATACAATTTTAAGCTAGTAATATCAGAATTTACAGGTTTCTGTATATTAGTCCAAGGTTTCAACAAATCGTATCTAGTACGAGGGCGAAACTTAAAAACAGATTCTGCAGGAGACAAGCCAGTGGACGTAGAGGGTGTATTACGATGTACAAATAAAAAGTTTTCCAATTTATTCAAAATTGAATTTTTGCTCAACTCTTTTTCCCTCTCTCTAAATAATGAGCGTACCAAACCTCTTTTTATGGTTTGTACATTTTTCTCGCCAAGACCGTTACTTTCAGGATACTGTGGTGGAATTCGTATAAACTTTATTCCATTAGCCTGACAAAAAGTAGTGAATTCATAACTATTGAATGGAGGTCCATTATCCGATACAAGTTCAGCAGGCAAACCGAATACTGAAAAAAATTGTTTAAGAGTCAAGATAGTTTCCCTTACGTTAGTACCATTATTCATAAGTTTTACTTCAGTCCATTTAGACTTGTCATCCACTAAGATCAAGAAAACCAAATTAAATTTCTTAAAAAAATCGATATGGTCCCTATAAAAATTATTAGGAGCACAAGGCCAAGGAACAAGTATACCTCCACTTGTAAAATTTTGAGTTTCTTGACATGTTTCACAAGAGCTTATAAAAGCTTCAATAACCTCATTCATACTTGGCCACCAACAATAGGATCGCATAAGCATCTTTGTTCTAACGATGCCAATATGTTCTTCGTGAAATAATTTTAAAATATCATTTTGAAGCTGTTTTGGTATGACTACCTTACTTCCAACTAATAAGCATCCTCCCTCTATAGAAAATTCCAATCGTCTTTTAAAATAAGGTTTTAAATTTTCATCTTTAATACAATTTGGCCATCCAGAAAGAGTAAGGTCAATAACCTTGGAAAGAGTGATATCCTTCTTTGTAGCTATTGCAATATTTTCAAATGACAAAGGTGCATCATAGCGCTAACTGAATGAGAAAAGCGAATCTGAAACTCCAGTTGAACAATTCATAGGTAAGCGAGATAGAACCCTTTGTATAAGTAATGTCATAATCATAAGCAGACAGTATTAGTGCCCATCGAGTTATACGAGATGCAGCTGTAACCGGAATATTTTTATTTTTACCAAAAATTAATTGAAGAGGTTGGTGATCCGATACTAGTGTAAACTTTCGACCATATATATACTTGTGAAATTTTTTTAAACTGAAAATTATGGCCAAACTTTCACGCTCTAAATTTGAGTACTTTTTTTCATTTTCTGATAAAGTGCTAGAGGCAAATAATACTGGTCTTTCAACTCCCTTAATCTTATGGCTAAGCACTGCACCCACTCCATAGCCACTTGAATCGCAAGTAATAAAAATAGGCTTTTCTGGATCGTAGTGAGCTAAGACATTTTTAGAGGTAATCATTTTTTTACTTTCTTGAAACGTTTGCTCACACTCATCTGTCCAACAGAAATCAGTGTTACCTTTGCACAAATCATATAAAGGTTTGAGCTTGGCAGATAGCGAATGTGAATAAACCTTCCATAGTAATTTAACAATCCCAAGTAGGATTTTAACTCTGTCACGTTTTGAGGTGAAGGTGCTTTACTTATACACTCTATTTTCTCGTCTGTAGGATGGATGCCCTTATTATCTATTTGATGACCTAAAAATACAACAGAGTGTTCAAAGAACTTACATTTGTTCTTATTAATTTTACCGTTAAACTTTTTTAATCTTTTTAAAACATTTTTAAGATTTTCATTATATTCTTCCATGGTTTCTCCATGAACCAAAATGTCATCAAGATAACACTTAGTTTTGGGTAAACCAGCCAAAATTGCATCCATTATACATTGGAAAATACTTGGAGCGGAACTGACTCCGTATGTTAGTCTATTAAATCTGAAAAAACCCATATGGGTATTTATCGTGAAAAGTTCTTTTGAAGAATCACTTATTTGTAATTGCTGATACGCACCCTTTAGATCTATAACAGAAAAACAGTTACCTCCATTCAAACTAGCAAAAATATCGGTTGGCAATGGCAAAACACAATGCTCAGTATCAATAGCCCAATTTAATGTTTTTTTAAAATCCACACATAGCCTAATATCAGTAGAATTTTTTTTTGGAACTACAATAATGGGACTTGCCCATTTGCTGTGTGTGACTTTCGTTAAAATACCAGATTCAACCATTTTTGAAATTTCTTCCTCTACTTTAGATTTTAGTGAAAAAGGCATTTCATATGCTCTATGAAATATTGGTTTGAAACCATCTTTGACTTTAAACTCTGCCTTGAACCCCCTGATAAACGAATTAGGTTCATCTTTAAACAAACTTTCATACTCAGATTTTATCAAATTAATCAATGTAATTTTGACATCTTCTGACATGAATTGAAATATTTGACCATCAACTGACTTGTTTCCTGTGAACTTACTTAAACTAACACTTTTATCCAGAACATTATTTTTCCAATCAAGATTGAGCACATTCAACCAATTTCGACCCAAAAGGGGTACAAATGATACTTCAGAATTAAGTACTACCAATGGTAAACAAAACATTTTACGCAAATACGCAACATGCACCGAAACTTGACCCAGAATCTCAGCTTTTTGACCAGTTAAAACTCTTAACTTAAAATCTACAGGCTCAAGAACTAAATTTCGAAATAATTTCTCAAAATCCTGTCGATGCATAACTGACCGAACAGCCCCTGAGTCTACTTCCATCTCTACATTCTCATTGTCAATAATCATGTTGACCCTTAGCGTATCGTTACCATTAGACTTTAAAGACTTGATAGTAAACTCACCCATATCCTCGGATAACAAACCTAACTCAAAGCCATCTTCGGACTCTTCTGACTCGACATCAACGTCATTTTGTTCCTCTCCAAACTCGTAAACTCTGTTTTTACACATTATAGACTTGGCAGTATGCCCTATCTGGTTACATGAATAACACTTCCAGGACACTGCTGGACACTTACTATAGTCAAAATGAATACGATTACACCTTCTACACTTAGAATTTTTATTATTGGTCTGTGACTTCGACTGTGACATAGTCGCACCTGACTGATTACTGGACTTATGGAAATGACTTGAGTTTGACTTACTAGAACCACGACTAGATCCTGCTTTTGCATAATACTTTTTCTGATAGACTTTATTGACTTGACCAATATCTGGATCTATTACTTTTAATTGACCTTCGGTTAACTCCATTGCAACTGCAATTTTACGGGCACTGTCAAATGTTAACTTTGCTTCTGTCAACAGTTTACGTTTTATATACTCCGACCTGATTCCGCACACAAACCGATCCCTTAGAGCCTCGTTTTGAAAATTTTGAAACTCACATGACTTGGCTAAACTCTTCAGACGCACAACGAATGTCTGTATATCTTCATTTGCTTCTAGAAATGCTGTATGAAATTTGAATCTCTTGGCAATTATCAAGCGCTTAGGACTGTAATGTTGCTTTAACTCAGTGACCAATGCTTCATAGCCCTTTGAACTTGGCAAGGTAGGCGCTAACAGGTCCTTCAATATACCATAGGCCTCCCCCCTATTAAAGTTAAAAACAAGGGTACCTTTTTTTCTTCCAGTGTGATATCATTACACTTAAAAAGTTGTTCTAACCTCTCAATATAGGTGGTGATATCGCTTACTTTTGGATTGAACGACTCTATGCTTCCAATTAACGACATTTTTTTTTTTTTTTTTGGCAGACCTTTTGACTTTTTTCCAGAGGTTTGACGGTTTGACTTCTATTTTACCTCCAAGCGAGGCGGACTACAAACCACGATTGATAGACTATGGCCCGTTTCCAGAGCTCGTCGCCAAAATATGCTATGTATTTGGAACACTGAAACACTCGAACTTATTGAAATACTTTATTCCAAGACGGTATTTGGTGAATACAAAATTGGACAGAACGAAACTGTTTGCACTTTTAATGTCACTCTGACAAGACTATCTAAAGACAGATGATGACAGATGACCAACAATTAATTAGTGCGTACTATAACTAATACAAGGAATCTAAGCAAGGACTTATCAGATGTTCGTGAACATGTGCGATTGTGTGT